TTAATTTAAAGCTACTAACTGCACATTTGAAATTTCTTGATACATATGCCTTACGTTATTATACGTCTAAATACAAATAAGTTTAAATTATCAAATAATAATTTTATATTACATAACCTACTAAATTTTTAAAATTCAAATACATTTCTGAAATATTTAGCAATATAACTAATATATTTATTACAAAATAATCGTCTCTTTTATTTTTGAAACCCTGCCTTCCCTATGTTGATCTGTATTTTCAACACAGGTAAAATAAAAATTTATGTAAATTATATAGGTAGGTATATATTAGGTAAATTTTGCTTTAATAATTATATATAGTTTCTAATGCACGGCTAAAAAGTTAATTTTTCTATTTTTACAGAACTGGTTTCATTATGAACAAATATAAAGTTCAGTTATCCTCGGTAAATTTGGAAATTTGACATTGAATACATGCAAAACATTCTTGTATTTCGACTTTAACTAAACTTTATTTTTTTATAGAAAAAACGGCCTAACAGCTGAAGAAACCAGCCCTAAATAGCAAAATTTACTTTTAACCATCAAAAACTACTTTTTAAAGGTAAAAATTAACTGTATAATCATTAAAATCTACTTTTTAAAGGTAAAAGGTTAATTTTAGACCACTACACACTACTTTTTAACCACTAAAAACATTTTTTTAAAGGTAAAAATTAATTTTTTATCAATTAAAACTACCTTTTTAAGGTAAAAAAAATATTTTTTTATTGCAAAAAAAGTAATGTCTTGATCAGTACCTAATTTTTAACCAATAAAAACTACTTTTAATTAATAAAAACTATTTTTTAACCACTAAAAGCCTAATTTTTAACCAGTAAAATCTATTTTTAAGAGATAAAAATAATTCTTTAACAATTAAAACTGCCTGTTCAAGGTAACAAAATACTTTTTAACTGCAAGAAAAATACTGTTTAACCATAAGAAACTACTTTTTAGTGAGTAAAATTTTACTTTCTAACCACTAAAATTAATAAAAACTAAAAAGTAAGTTTTTAGGGACTAAAAAGTAATTCCAAAAAAGTGAATTTATTAACCGTAGCAAAGTACTTTGGCTGTCGCCTATTTTAATAGAGTTTTTTTTTAAGGGTTAATACATTTGTTGCTACCATAGCAAAAAAATTCGCTCGGTGATCTACTACATTAGAGATAATCTTAATTGGCTCAACTTTCGTTTAGCCGAAATCTGTTATGCAAAAGCTGTTGTCATGATAACAATTGTGATGGCTATAAGTAAACAAAAACCCAAATCTCGTAGTGAGGCAATGCGTAGTTGCCAGGTTTTAGATCATTTAATGTTCATTTTAGTTTGGTCAAAATTAGTTATGAAGAAACTGTTACCATGGGAACGCTTATCATGCTAACGACTAAACAAAAACCCAAATCCAGCAGTGAGGAAATGCGTAGTTGCCAAGTTATAGATCATTTAATTTTCACTATAGTTTAGCTGAAATCAGTTACAGAGAAAATGTGGCCATAAAAAAGGTTGTTATGCTAACGACTAAATAAAAACCCAAATCTCGTATTGAGAAAGTGCCTAGTTGTCAAGTAGTGGTTAGTAGGTGAGTGGAACGAGCGTAGTCTGATCTTATCATATAGGTGGAAAAAGGGCGCGCGGCCGACATTTCGAAATTCACGACAAGTGTTCTTTTGGCAACGAGTTTTCCGTAACCGATTTTAGCTAAACTCAAGTGAAAATTAAATGATCTGTAACTTGCCAACTATGCATTTACTTACCACGCGTTTTGTTTAGTCGTTACCATGACAAGCGCCTCTATGGCAACAGTTTCTTCGTAACTGAATTCAGCTAAATTAAATCATCGGTAACTTGGCAAACACGCATTTCCTCACCACGAGATTTGGTTTTTTTGTTTAGTCGTTACTATGTAAAGTGTTCCCATGGCAACAGTTTCACCATAACTGATTTCGTCTAAACTAAAGTGAACATTAAATGATCTATAACTTGGCAACTCTGCCTTTCCTCACCACGAAATTTGGGTTTTTGTTTACTGGTTACCACACGGAAAAAAATGTGACTAGAAAATTTTACTACAATGTTGTAGTAGTATACTTGTAGAAAAATACTTAACTTTTTGTAGAAAATTTTACTACAATGTGTAGTTAAAAACTATTCATTACAATTGAATTGTCGAATAAAATGCTACAACAATAGAAAAGAAGTCCACAATGTTTAGTATATTTTACTATTGTTTGTAGAAGTAGAAATTTATTACAATTATCGTAATTACTACTACTAACTTCTGTAAAAATTTGTAGAAATATTAATAATTATCTCTACAAAAAATAGTATTTTTCTCTACAAAAAATAGTAATACTTTACATCCCTTCTTATGAAAAAAATTCAATTTTGTTCAAAAATATTCTATAATATTGTAGAAATTCTAAGTCATGTGAATAAAACAAAATTCTGCTATTGGCCATCGTTTTCTGACGTCGATCATAAATGGCCAGACAGCAGTAGCCGTTCGCCATGTTCACAAAACAAAGCATGGTACATATACGAGTACCTATAACACATTATTATATTATAAGCACCGATGCGTTTGAGAAAATTTTAATAATAACTTCTATTAGTGGTAAGTACATTTATTATTTAATTAAAGTTGAAGGTGGTAGCCATGTGTGAGTTATAAGTTCAAAAAGGTAAATCAAACAAGGGTGGTCCTTAGGATCTCACAAGAGTATTTTATTACGACCGGTTTCGAGGATCAAATCCTCATCATCAGGTAAGGTCCGTAATTACTCATCTATTTAAGGCTAAGCTAAGAGAATTATCCCAGGGTCGGTGTAAAAGTTTTTATATTTTTTATGTATTTTAAAAAATACTCGCATACTTGTTTTTACGCCGACCCTGGGATAATTCTCTTAGCTTAGTCTTAAATAGCTGAGTTATTACGGACCTTACCTGATGATAAGGATTTGATCCTCGAAACCGGTCGTAATAAAATACTCTTGTGAGATCCTAAGGACCACCCTCGTTTGATTTACCTTTTTGAACATTTATTATTGTTTCTGAATGATTTACCTTTGGATAACTAATTTAAATAACATTAGTAGATTATTTTAAAAAAAAATAGTTGTGGTCAACGATCGAATGTTGTGCCCAACGATCGAATGTTGTGCCAAGCAATGATGTTTTTTTGTACTAATTGTGACATACCTACTTTTTTATTTTTGTTAGTTATCTGACTTAGTCATTTAATATTCAAATCAGGGTAAAGGTGATAAATATCCCCGTTTTAAGGGTATGAACAGTTCAATAGGTATTCATTTTTATTTCATATTTTTCAGGTGCAAAAAAGCCAACTGAGATTGAAGGCGCTATTATTACTGTTATTTATTACATAATGTATTTAAGACTTTGTATCTTTTATATTAAAACAATAAATTGAATATTTTATTAAGGAACATTTTTTCTAGGTTATAATTATAATAATTATAAAATATTACTACAAATTTTATTAAAAATTACTACAATTTGTAAGAATTTTTACTATTTATTGTGTAAAATTTTCGTATTTATTTTCATAAAACGCAATACATTTTTAATATAAATTCATACAATGAATAGCAAAAATTATAACAATTTGTAGAACAATTCTTATGATGCATTTGGATATTTTTACTAAATATTATAGATAATAACTCTACAATACATTCTCTACAAATATTTGGAAATTTTTACTACAAATTGTCCCTGTCCCTATATGTACTATTTATTGTAGAGAAAAAGTCTCTAATTGTTGAAAATTCTACAATTTTTTTTTCGTGCATGGCATCGGTTACCACGGCAACAATTTTTACGTAACTAAACGAAATTTGACCCTCTTAATTTAGCATAAATATTTTAAAAATATCTACTATTATATAGGTATGTATTACTATGTATGAACAATAGCTTTAAAAAATATAGTTAAAACTTACAACTTTAGTTAAAAGGACCTACAATATTATTAGGTTTTAGTAATCATATAATGTTGACATGTAGTGTTATGAAAATGTAGTTTTCAAGACATGTCCTGACAGGCCTGTAAACTTTTGAATGTCTTCATTTGCCCTTTAGTGTATTAACTATGGGTTAACACTAAATAAGCTACAACGTCCATATTACTTATAGGAGAAATTGCAGTCACTGTGTGATCCAGTTGCCAACCACTGATTACCTTTTACTTGACGTTCATATCTATAACAAATATAGCATTGAAAATGTAAAACGATTATATTTTTATATTTTTTACTAACCTGCATCTTGACATTCATTTAACAATTTTCGTAAATATTCAATATCAATTTAAAAAAATCATAATCCTCAAAAGGATGATTTCAAAACCAAGAAAAACATATTTCTGATAACGTCAACAAATCAACGACTATATTAAATTTCATTTGACAGTGACAGTTCGTTTTAAGCGTCAAAAAATCAACGAATATATTAAATTTCATTTGACAGTGACAGTTCGTTTTAGACACACTTATCAGATCACAAACTTGTGAAATTTACGACCGTTGTCTGGAACCAATAAAAACATCGATTCCTATGACATTTATTTTTTCCTGAACCCCCCATTGGCCGTTCGCCGACTAGGGCTAATAATAACAACTATTACGACATAAATTTTGAACATGATTATATGTCGGAACATGCTCTAAATAACGAATCTAGTTACTTTTACCTGTGTAAATGCGTCTTTTCAATTTGCTCCTCCTAAATTAAAAACAGAGTACAGCAACTACCATATTTTATATATTTTTCAAATTACAAAACTATTGTAAAAAATTCTAAAATATGTATATTGTTTATTAAAATTAAAAATAGTCAAAACGTGTTTAAATTTGTTGTTAAGTTAAATACTTAACAAGTTTCAAGCAACAGAAGAGAACTTCAAGAATTTCTATTTTATGTAACCAATCCATTAATACGGAACAAACCGACTAACTATGTTTAAATGACTTACCGTGTGCATTGACGGCCTTATTTTCATTATTGACACTTCTCTTATAGTCCTTATACATTTGTGAATGTTGTGGTTGCTGAGAGTATTGAGCTGCTGATTGCATCATTCCTGATGAATGTCCATGGATGGAAGGATAATAATTATGGCCATAATAGTTCAAATAATTCCAGGAGTGTTGAATGTAAGCATAATTCTCAATGTACTAAAAAAATCATTGTGTTCAGTTTTCGTATAATAAAGTAACTATTTTTTAATATTATGTGTGAATAAAGAATGAATTTGTGGAAAAAAAAGATCCTTCAAATCACAAAATTATGCTATATAGTAACATTGGTAGACAATTCATAACAGCAGTTCCCGCATTAATTTGAACCTTAAATGTACGATAATAAAAAAAAACTACTCTGAAAATCTATAATTTGTTTTCTGCTAAGGTAGGGGCCCAGTATATACAGTATATAGTATAATACAGTAACGACAGTTCATTGTTTATGAGGGTTTCATATTTTTCTGCGCATGTCCGTAAATAAGCGGCAAATACGTCAAACTGGCATATGTGAATTTTCAATGGATTAATGGTAGTTGATTGTTTTAATTATCTGATTGGTTGTAATACACATTTTAATACATTTTTACTATATTTTGACTTAGTTTTTATCTTTCATTTATTGTGTGATATATTATTCAAAAAGACAAAGGGACAATATATTTAAAAGTTATTTTTTTCAGTGTAGAAATAAGCGACAGAAACGTCAACTGTCAATAAAAATCTGACCACTCCGACATCAAAAGAGCCGACTCAAGCTGTCGCTACTGTATTATTAATTATACTGGGGTAGGGGTACTACTCTAGTTTGAATGATTTACATATTTTTTTGAGATAAAATCATGCAGAAATTACGTATTAAAAATGACGGTGCTAAATATTTGAATTTTGTGTCAACGTTAGAGACGCCTCAGGGTTTGAATTGGGAACATTATTATTTATTTTTAATAATTTTTAATAATTTTGAATTCTAAGAAACTTTTGTTTGCTGACGTAATGAGAATTTGTAGGAAAATAAACAACGACCTATCAACTTACTTAATACTGCTTTATATGATTTTCAATAGGATAATCCTATTATATCCCGATTATATAATAACAGATATTTAAGTGTTTTAAATTGAGCATCATATTAATTGCTACATTTTAAAAAATATTTAAATGCATTTTTGATTTATAGCAAATATTAAAGTTTGATTTTAAACTTTTAACACCCTATATCTCGGAAACTACTTCCTTTAAGGGTCCAAATTCGTTTATTAAAATTCATCAATTAACGAGAGCTTTTTGCGTTGTCAGCTGAATATACTAACACCCTGTTCAAATAGAAAGAAAGGACAATGAATACTGAAAGGGTATTTATAGGTATTAATTTATTTTTATTAAGATCATCTCTGTATAACAAAAAAAAAACTATAAAATTAATAAAAAAATCATTTAAAATATTCTTACTACGAGTACATAGTGAGAGGCACATTATATTTGAGAATAATTAAATAATAAAACATAATAAAACTCATATTAAAAAATAATTTAAAAATTTCTAAGTATGTAGTGATAGGGAATTTATTTAATAAAAATAAAATTTATAACAATAATATAAAATATTTTTTTGCTACACCTATGTGGATATCATCTATTCTACCCACAGATTACAGAAAGAAAAAGTAGGTCATTGCGTTCTACTGAACTTATATAATTTCCTATCCATTTATTTCATATCCATAGTAACGAAATCCACCAGAGTTTTTACTAGGGGACCGGGCTGCTAACTTTTTTTTAAATAAGTGACAGTTCTGTCAAACTAATTTTCAGTATATTTTTGTTCAGATTAAATATTAGGTATTAAAAACGATTTATTCTTACTATAAATTGAAAAGTTCAACATGCATTTTACAAAATATTTGTCTATATTTACAGATAAGTATTATTTTTTTTTAAAACTATCTATAACAAATCCAATTATCAGTATTAAAAAAAATGCGCAAAATAGCGTACTCACTTCCCGTGCGAAAGGTCCGGGGTTCAAATCCCAGATAAAGACCTTTTTTTATTTATTTTGTTTTATAAAATAGTAGAAGTAATGAATTAATAAAAAAAATTATTAACCATTTATTTTTAAAACTTTCGATTTTGGGATGTAGAAATTATACTGTACAGCTTGAGTGGAATTTTAACTACTCAACTAATTGTAAGTGATAGTGCCAATGACAGAAACTGCACTCAGCAAAGAGTAATCATCAAGCACAGGACAGTTCTGCGCAATAAGTTATTTTGTATTACCGAAAGTAGTCGTAATTTCTGTTTTTCGTTAAGATCAATCAAATATGTGGTATTCATTTTGACTTTTATTATTTTTTAATAAGGCATTAGTTTTCCCTTATCATTGATACGTAAAATACGTTCACAACCAGAATTATAATTTTTTCTAGTCCCTCTAATCTTTAAATATTATGTTGTTTAGGTTTTTCAATATAATTTTGTAAAATTGATTTTGACAAATCAGTATTTTTTGTTGTAAAAGTTAATTTTCAAAAAAAAAGTTGTTATCGATCAAATATATTTCTATCAAATTTTCGCTGCCCATAATCTACTATAGGGGCCTGTTATTTTCTTCTTTTATTTGATAATACACAAAAAAATTATAACTATACTGCGTTATGTGCGTTGATAAAAACATTTAATTTAATAGAAAGCAAAACTTACTGCGTTAATATTTTGCTGTTGATTCTGTTGAGAACTATTATAAAATAACGGCATCTGATGTTGAGATGGTTGAGAGAAATCCGCTATTTGTTCTCTATCATTTTCAGGAGACGGTTCACTTTTTGGTGATGTTTTTGTATTATTTACAATCTTTTCAACACTGGTTCCTTGAGAATACATTGCAAAGTCCTGCATTTTTAAAAATAATGTCAATAAACTATATTACTATTATTGATGCTTGTCAAAAGAACTCGGACAAGCAACTGAGATGTGCAGTCATTAATGCCCTAAAGTAGGTGAAAATTACCCAAAGGATTAAAACTCACACGTTTTCTTCCTAGAAATTGTGTAAACAAACTTGCATCTTTAAAGTAATTTAAGGGATTATTGTCTGAAATTGAAAGACTCAAAATGAAGTGGTTCAGTTGGAGTATTTATTAGTCGCACATTTTTGTTATCTATGTTTTCGTCAACTGGTATAACTAAATTGATTGATTTTAAATGTATACAAAAATATAAAATTTAATTTTAAAATAAGTAAAAAAAAAAATATTTAATAAATACAAAGTGGAATTGTAAATAAAGTTTAATTTTGAACAAATCAAATTTTCGATATAAAGTAATTTTATACAAATACGGACACAAAAACAAGTAAAATCATTTAGTACTTCTTAACAAAGGTAAGTTACTATTAACATTAACTTTGCAAATAAGAACACTACAGAAATTAGTTACATTTATCATAAAAATTAAGACAATTACTATTATTAAAATAAAAGTTAGGATTTTATTTCGTTTAATTTAAACAAAATACATAAGTTGAACTACCAAATTAAATAAATCCGTTGTCTGTATAGAGAGTAAATTTTAATTATGAAACACCTCAATTATCTTGAAAACGGCTTGCACGATTTTTATAAATTTTGGTATGTAAAGGTTTTGTAATACGGCCGATATTATGGTGGTATCTACAATTTTGTCAGATCTTTCAGTTTTCTGGAAGTAATATGAACTTTGTTATTTCAAATGGACAACCCCGTATATTTTTTATTGTTTGAAATCTTTAAGAAATAGTGATTATTATTTATGTAAAGGTATACCTAAATGCCATAATTTCGGAGTTACAGCTACATTTACATTACCTTCGTGGAAGTTAAAATATTACATTAAGGAGGCTATGCTTTAATAAACTCGTTTTATTTGAATAATCTCGATTGATATATATCATAACAGAAATGTCGTTACGAAACTGGCGAACAGGGCCGCCGAGAGCCAAGTGGGGCCACGAGACAATTTTCCAGTTGGGGCCTCGCAACAATTTTATAAACAAAATTAAGCTCTTTCAATATCACATTTCCAATAAAAAAAAGGTCCTCAAGCAAAAACATAGATCCTTATTAGTGAAATATTTAAGAAAAAGTCTTCATCTTCTATTTTATATAAACCAGCGCTCCTCCCTTTTGTGGCGAACTTCTAAAAAAATAAAACGTCCTCACTTAAAGCTACCGGGCCCCCACTTGTGCCCGGGCTCTGGGAATTTGTCCCGGTTATCCCTCCTCTCGGCCCTGCTGGCGAAGTAAAATATTTTTCCGCCTACCTCTATCCAAAGTATACATTTCCTGGCCTCATTGCAGGGAGCAAAGTCGTACTTTTCCTTCCTAGGGAGGAAAAGTACTTTTACTCCCTAGGGAGGAAAAGCAAGTGACGTCATGGTATGTCATAAATGAAATCGATTATACGGCATTGACAACCTAAACTATATTCTATTATATAAGTATAAATATTACCGTTTATTTATAGAACACCCTGTATTTTGCAAAATAGTAAAAATCAGTAAATTGTTATTTTAATTTAACGATTTTTACATTAATAGTTTGACTTTAATTCATAGATTCATCCGATTTTCGAATTTAGGACAGAAATATAGCATGCTATGGTCGATTGACAGATCAGTTTCAAAGTGTGTTACGCTATCTACAAAATATAAAATAATATTTAGAAAATGAGTGATTCAAGCGAATTTGAAGATATAAATAATACACCACCGGATATTTTGGAACAGGTTAATGCAACAGTACAATCTCTATTACCCCAAAAATCTAAAGAAAAATACGAAAAACAGTATTTACATTTCAAGCAATGGGCCGAAGAAAAGCATATTCGTACTTACTCAGAAAATGTTATTTTGGGGTATTTTTGCTATTAGCAAATACATTAAAAGCCTCTACATTGTGGTCCAAGTATTCAATGCTGCGTACCATTCTTCATATAAAAGAAAATGTGGATATTAAATACCCAAAATTAATTTCTTTCTTGAAAAGACAAAACCAGGGATATAAACCTAATAAGGCAAAAACCTTCTCAAGAGAGGAAGTAAATAAATTTTTAGTAGAAGCCCCCGATAATAATTATTTATTAATGAAGGTAAGATATTTTAAAGAAGTAAATATATTTAAAAAATAAAAGTTAAACGGCAAATATTATAATAGAGCTACAACAATACGCTATGTTTAGAATTCCGCAAAAGTTGCCTGTAAGTTCCGGTAGCGCAATTAGTTGGTGCACCGCTCACTGTCCATGATAGGCTTGTAGGTGTTGGTTCAAATTTCAACGTCGACGGCTTTTTTTTCTTTTTTTTTTTTTAATTTATTTTTTTAAATTGTTTATCTTTGTTTTGTAGGTTCTATTCATTTTCGGAATTTCAGGAGCATGAAGATGTGACGAACTCCTTAAAATGGCTACTACAGATATTGAAGATAAAGGTTCAATTTTAATAGTAAATATACCAGATTCTAAAACAAATATACAGAGAACGTTTGTAATCAATACTTCACCGGGGAATGACCCTAATTATATTGACATTTATAGAAAATATATATCGCTACGCCCTAAAACAGATCAGACTCGTTTATTTGTCTGCTATAGAGCAGGAAAATGTATCAAACAAATGATTGGAAAAAATACTATTGCTAAAATTCCTAAACAAATTGCAGAATTTTTAAAACTGCCTAATGCCATAAATTATACCGGGCATACTTTCAGAAGAACCTCGGCAAGTTTACTTGCAAACTCTGGAGGAGACATTCTTGCTTTAAAGCAACACGGAGGTTGGAAGTCTACGAATATCGCTGAAGGGTATGTGGTGCAATCTCTTGCAAAAAAGAGAAAAATTTCGAATCAAATTATGGGAGTCACTGAAGTTAATGAAATTGATTGTAATCAGCCAAGTACAAGTACTTCCGAAGGATACCAGCTGTATAATAATGTTTGTGAAAATATCATGAAAACTGCATTGGCTCCAACTCTCACTTCTAGTGGTATTCAAATAACCACTGCTCAAAACTGCACGTTTAACATTAGTATAAATAATTACTCTACCACAAATTAAAAATATGTAGGATGCAATAATGAAAATAACGTGCCTATAATTTATACTGTACCTACTTCTTAATTTTAGTTTTTTAATAAATTTTGTTTGTTAGTTTCATAAATAAATTATTTAAAAATTACTTGTTATTTGAGGGAGGCGGAAAAATTATATGTATTACTTGGGAGTAAAGTGCCTTTTCCTCCCTTGGATGTTTACTACCCTCCGCTTCGCGTCGGGCAGTAAACTTCATCCTGCGGGAGGAAAAGTGGCACTTTCCTCCCTAGTAATACAAATAGCTATATCCAAATCATGGCGCAGAAAACCTACAGCAATTGGAGTCAAATCTATAAATGTTTGTGTTATGTTAAAAGTAGATCCACATTTGAGTAGTAGAAAAATCAGAAACTTTAGAAAACATAAAGTAAAGGCGATTACCGCAGATGCTCAAAATGTCTGTTCATTTCAATACAACAAGACATTCGATTTTTATAACTTTGCTTACTTCTTCTTATTTATGTGGTAATTCTACCTTTTAATTCCTGAATATTGGCAGGTTTTGTTTGGTAAACGACATTTTTCAAGTAACCCCACAGGAAATAATCTAAAGCATTCATGTCGGGTGATCTCGGGTGCTATTTGATAAAACCTAGCCTTCCAGTTTCTCTTCTGAGAAACACATTATTTAGGTAATGCCTACCTCAAAGGCATAGTGAGGTGGAGCACTATTTTGTTGTAACCAAATATTGTCGCTTGGAATATAGTTGTTGTCTGAAAGTTTCGAATAATGAATATTCTACATTCAAATATAATTGAAAGTACTTGGATTTCGAAATAACCGAGCCAGTGTTGCCAGAATATATTTTTATGATGTACCAGATTTATTTAAAAAATGTACCAGATTTCATAAAAATGTACTAGATTCTATAAAATTACCAGATTTTTTTAATTATGAAGTATGGTAATTAAAGAGCAAAAAAAGGTTCATAGAGAATACGAACACAACAATTTTAAATAAAATTTTATCTCTCGACACTATTTTATCTCTCGAGCAGTTTTTGAATAAGATTTTAATACCTTTTGATACTCTTTTATCTCTCGAACAGTTTTTAATTTTTTTTATCTCGAGCTATTTTGAAACAATATTTTATCTTTCGAGCAATTTTTAACAACTTTTTTTATCCCTCGAGCAATCTTTGTACAAAATTTTTAACACTATTTTATCTCTCGAGCAATTTTCCAAAAATATTTTAATACCTTTTGATATTATTTTATCTCTCGAACAGTTTTTAAATCTTTTTTTATCTCTTGAGCTATTTTTAAACAATATTTTATCTCTTGATAAATTTCTAACAGTATTCTATCTCTCGAGCAATTTTTAACAACTTTTTTTTTATCCCTCGAGCAATGTTTGTATAATTTTTAACTCTATTTACGCCCATATGCACCGTTTTAAAATTTAATCCAGATTTGCAAATCTCGTTTAAATGACTAGTGGTTATTTTCTATGCACAGGCTACGGATTAGATAATCTAGTTTAGTAATCTGACAACACTGGATTTTTATAAATTTTACAAAAAACAGAAGAAGAAAACTTCAGATTTGGGCAGGAGAAATGTATGTCAAAGGATAAGAAGCCGTTGAAGATATAAGCCCTATTTTTTTAAATGTACCAAAATCGTAAACACTAAAATGCAAACCGAATTTTACGCAAGGTGAAAAAGAATGTCAAATGAATTTAAAAAAAAAATTCTATAGTTGGATGGCAAAACCATTAAGTTAATATTTGGTAATTTTAACATATATACATACAAAGTGCTGT